GGAGCCGAAAGAGCCGGTTCTCTAAAAAGAGCCGCAAATCCCATCACTACTTTCGACCAAAACAGGCACAGCTTGATGACACCATCAACATGCGGTAGAGCGGTATAGTCAAAATCTGTACCGTTGGCCAAATTTATATCGTTTCTACCATTTACCGTTTACACCGCCCACCCCTACTGTCCATTACAAATCGTAACAGATCCCTCCGGAAGGACAGATCGAGTACCCTGGCACTGACCTTCCTGTGAAGACTGAAGAGATGCCAGCTCAGCAGGTGGTGGTGATCAGCTGACAGCTCAGTTTCAGTTTTCAGTTTTATTTGTCATATGCAAGTTAGCACAGGGTCAACATCGCAATGAAACGTATTTGACGAGCAGCAGACAGTCACTCAGCAGAATGGTACAGTAGAAGAAAAAAGAAATAAAAAATAAAAATAAAACAAATAAAATAAAAATAGTAAAGAGCAAAATATTAATAAGATGTAGTAAAGGAAAAAAAGAGAAATTTCCAGTTAACTGACTGAATATATGTATGTATATATAAATATATGTACACACTAGTGATTAAATAAAGAAAATCTTAAATAGGAATGTGGGGGGGGGGGGGGGGGGGGGGGCAGATGGGACACTGCACAGGGATGAGCAGCAGTACAAACTGAACAGTACAAAGTTTTGTTTTTTGTGGCAGTTGTTGCAGTATTGCACTTTTTAAAAATATAACTATCAATAAAGTGGAGTGACCAGTGCAGATTAAACAGAGAACTTGTGAAGCTGCAGCTTCTGAGCGCGTCCTGTGGACTGTGTGTGTGTGTTGAAGTGTTGTGGTTGAGGCGTCGTATGGCTTGATGGTAGAAACTGTTTAAGTCTTGTAGTCGGAGCACACAGACTCCTGTAACGTCTGCCAGATGCTCTCTACACCCAGCTGACAACAACGCACCGTTACAGAATCAGCTGAGAGCTTTAACCAAGCTCGCATTAGCCGGACTGTCTGTGTGCTAGCTGACTCACCAAAACTTTAAACTCCAATCAGAGATAACGGGTATCACAGGGCTAGTTATTAACTCTCACCGGCTGAGAGACAGACTGTCTGCCCACTGAGGTTTCCTGAGCCTCGGTGTGGGGTCCCTGTGCTCACCCTGACAGCAGCTGCAGGACAAACTCCTCGTTTAAAACGGCGTTAATGAGAATCACGGCAGCATCAGAGGGACACTCACCTGTCCTGTGCAGCTTGATTTGGGGTTTCCAGGTGATATCCAGCAGTCTGCGCTGACGGTCGATCTCTTCCTCGTACTGGACGATCGTTTTTTCAAACTCCAAGAATATTTGTTCAGCAGCAGCAGTTAGTCGCTCGATGATAAACTCTCTCAGATACTGAACTGAAGGCATCGTTGCTGCCGCAGCTCACACACTCAGCTCACACTCGCCGCTGATTCAACACAGGAGGAAACTACTTCCGCCTTTCCTTTGTTTACTTCCGCCTGGTGTCACACGGTCAAGCTCCGGCAGACAAGGGCTTCCGTTCCACGTCGTTTACGTAACAGCTCAGTTTCTAGTAGGAGGGAATATTAGTTACACATTCCTGAAAAATAAAAGGTTTCGGTAACATCATAAGTGGATTTTTCCCACCTTGATGCTAAAATCTGATTCCCAGTTTGAATCCAGTGGCTCCAGAGACTGTTTGGTATCACAGGCTGTGGATCTCTGTGGTGAACAGGGTTTGGAATATAAACAAGAATAAGATGCTCTCTGCTGAGTAAGCTGTACCTGTGCAGGCCGCCTCCTCTTACATCCCACCATCAAACACCACATCTCACACTTTATGGAGCACGTGGCCAAAAGGACTAACACCTCAGCTCACCTCCATTCACCTGATTCAGGTGTGTTGACCCAGGGTGAGATCTAAAACCTGCAGGGAAACCGGCCCTCGTGGACTAGGGTTGGGGACCCCTGCCTTACAATATTAAGCTTCAAGAAGCTTAATATTGCTCTGATTTGGCACTATATGAATAAAACTGAACTGAGTTCATTTAATTGATGATTTTAAATTGGTTTAGCTGAAGAGAAAGGACCCAGAAAACTGTTTGACGTACTTTTCATTGGTATATATATTTTAAAAAGATACATAAAACACAACTGTTAATATGAGTATAACATCTATGTATGTTTTAATGGAACCTGTACCTGGAAACCAACTGTGTGGTGTTCATGTGCCTGAATATGGGACTAATTTATTTGTGCATGTATGTTTTTAATTTTCAGTGGAATATTTAATAAAGTAAGGAAAAGGCAAACATGTTAATCCATTCAGGCATCACGCTGCATGTATAGAGTAGAGAGGTTCCTTCACTGGTCCTGCTGCTCATTCTGTACAGGCAGCTGAAGGAGTTTAGATCAGGAAACCAATTTGTTGACACAGACAAGCATGGAGACAGAACACAGACACGGTCTGCTTTTCATTTGGATGATGATAGTCTCCTTTCAGACTGGTGAGTCATCAAAAGATGGAGTGAGATGTAAAAGGAGATGATGGACATGAAAATATCTGGATGTTGTTTGAATTGATTCACTTTTTATAAACTAAGTTTAAAGATGCAGAAACATGATGGTGAAATATGTCTTTGTTGTTTTCAGGATCCTCTGAGGATTTACTGACACCATCTAAAGATGTAGTGATGAGTTTGGAAGGACACACTGTGACTCTCTCCTGCAAATATTCAGGCTCTGTCCTCAACCTCTACTGGTACCATCAGAAGTCTGGTTCACATCCACAGCTTCTCATAGATGAACATTCAGAGAAAATAGAAAAGCTGAAGTTTAGAAAAGATCAAAACAAAAGTGATTTTTATCTGGAGATCTCCTCTGCTGCAGTGTCTGACTCTGCTGTGTACTACTGTGCTGTGAGGCCCACAGTGACAGGAAACAGCAAAACTCTGTAAAAACCTTTGTAGAGACAGAGCTGCTGTGGAAACACAAAACTATTTGATTGGCTGAGCTATTAAACTGGCCCCGCCCACTGAAGTTGAGCTCATCCAATGACATTATTTGTTGGTCATTGTGCTGCAGTGGAAGAACATTGTTCATGTGCTGTCTGTCTGGCTTTAATAACTCCAAAGACATGTTGCTGCACCTCTTTTTGCTTCTATCTCACATTATAGGTGAGTTTAAGAACAGGGATTAAAGTTTAGTTGAAGCTGCTGCATTAAGCAGATATACAGACTGCATTTCACTACTTTTCTTCTTTCTTTTTCCAGGACTAACAGCTGGAGACTCAATCACTCCTCAACAACCTGAAGTCACTGAAACAGAAGGAGAATCTGTCAAACTCACATGTAGCTATGAGACGAGTGCAGGCAGTGCTGAACTTCACTGGTACAAACATCATTCTGACCTTCAGGCTCCTCAATTTATACTCTGGAAAAGAGGAAAGGGGGGAACATATAAATCTATTCCTGATAAACGATATGACTCAGAAACATCTTCTACATCAACTAATCTGACCATAGCAGCCCTAACCCTGGCAGACACAGCTCTCTACTAATGTGCTCTAGAAACAGTGATACAAAGTGTAGAAGAGGCTGTACAAAAACCTGAACACAGATATCTGACTACTCTTCAAAGAGGAGGGAAGTGGTATTCAAAGCACAGCTTCATATCAGATGGATTCTGCTAATTCCTGTTTTATCAGAGTCACTGTGGTTACAGCTGATAATGAAACACTGTGGGAGGATTCACATGAGCAGCAAATCCACACCAACCACAAACCAGCACTTTATATCAGCATCAACAGTCAGGAAACATCGTCGCTGTCTGTGGTCCTGAAATGAAAAGCATCTGAAATGTAAATGTCGTGAAACGAAGGGGTTTCTGTGTCTCTGAGCCCAGGACACTCTGACAAAAGACAATCTTCATCTCCAGAATTTCACTTCCTGATTTAAGTTAACAGTTCAGTATTAATTCTGACACACTGTGGCTTCTGATTCTGTGAAGTGTCTTCATCTTCAGCTCTGCATCTTTACTGCATCTTTGATTTATAAATCATGAAACAGACAAAAAAACTTTAGAAAGAGCTTTTTATAAGAGCATGGTGAAAATCTACAACTTCCTAGTTTCACTTCTAAATCCTGAACAATCAAAATTAGTTGAACACAAAACAGAAGAACAAAAAGTGATACATGCTTTCCACAAATAAAAGACTCGTGTGGTCAGTGAGCACTACAGGATTTCTCAGCTTCAGTATCTCAGGTCACAATCCAAATATCTGAGGTAGAGTAAAAACAAGGGAAAGAAATCATACGTAGATCAGAATATGACAGAATACAATGGAAACATTTCATACATCCAATTTTCCAACCAAGTTCAAATACACACACAAACTTAACTGATGGCGGTAAAAGGAAAACAAAGCCAGTCTAACTCTGGAGGGAAAGAAGCTGCTTTAAAAACGAAGAGTTGCCGAGCAACGTCTCCACTTGTACCTTTTTATATTTACATTGTTGTGACAGAAAACTGCAGCAAACTCACAGAACTTAGCAACAACAGGAAACACTTCGGTTCATATTACACACATTTTTCTTCCAGAGTGTGTGAGTGCTGGAAAACACAGATTTTATAATAAAACAGAACAAATGTACTTCTTTCTATGGCCGGCTTTAACAAGATTTTATATCATGAAACACCAACTGTAATTCAGTGGCAGTCCGCACATCCAATGGTACACTGCACAAACAAACTTAACACAATTCAAACAAAAAATGACCTTGTGTGAGAGTCATCATGTTTCACTGGAGAATTAAAAACCCTCATCATGAGAGCGCCACAGCGTGACACAGAAGCGACACCGAGTCGTCTAAAGTTGCGTCTCTGCTGCACATGAGAGAAAATAAAAGTAATAACACATAAAATTGTCACATTGTGTTGATCAGTAGCTTGTAGGGCAGTGAAATGACCAGATTTCAGCCTTGAATTTGATTTCGGCTTCCTTCTATGAAATGATGATCATGGAACAAAACTGAAACTGTGTGCTCGACAAACAGAACACAAAAGCACATCAAGCACTTCCTGAATCACAGCTGTTCTCTGAAGGTTTCCTGAACTCGTCTGCACGAGTAACACTGTGTTAAGACACATATAACAAAACTGAGCTGTGCTGTACAGCAGAGGGGGAGGAGCTTGTCGTTCAGCATCATACTCTGTTGTTTTGAAATACTTTGAATTTAATGGAAGAGACGCAATGAAGACGAAATCACGTGTGAAGAGTGCTTTAACCTCCTAAGACCCGAACTCTTCCACGGCAGCATTTTTAATTTCTCTTTGATATTTGGTCACATCGGGGCCTGATGAATGTAAAAACAAAGAATTGCCAGATTTTTTTTTAAAACCTATTTTTGTTTTTAAGAAAAATGAGAGCCACATATGAGGATATTCGTTTAAAATTCTGATAGAACAGTAGCAGTATAACGTCCTCGTAAGTGGATATCAGGCCCTGGTAGAGCAAAACTGAGTATTTTGGTCTAAATAACCCAAAATGTGACGTCCACATGTGGACGGCAGGTCCCAGGAGGTTAAACGCCTGAAAACAATCCACGAACTGCAGCACGACTGACGCACAAAGGCTAAAAAAATAAAGAAATGGTTACTGACGTGAATTATCTGACATTGACTCGTCATGTCCACAATAAAGGTTTCAGCACACGGACTCGCTCACTCAGTTCTATTCCTGAAGAGGAGATACCTGCACTGCATGCAAAAGCACGCAGGGAAACGCAGAGGGAGGTCAGAGCTGTCGATCTACATCCATCATGCAGGTACAGTGAATGCAGGGAAAGACTTTACATTTAGTGTTAAGTGGATGCGCTTACATCAGGCTTGCACCATATCGGTCTGGAAAAGTGTTTTAATTAATTCGTTAATATATATATATATATATTTTGGAATGTGGGTGAGTAATATTAGGAATGTTGCATTATGGATGTAAAAGCAGTGTTATGTTTACATGCAGTAAATGCCTTTTGTCACTAAAATACATGAATAATCACAACAATTAATCATGATCACAATATTGATCAAAAAATTAGGAGAATTATTTTTGCCAGAATCGTGCGGTCCTACTAGTTTGGTAGAAATCGACTCACAAGTGCAAAAATCTCCTCAACAAACAGTTTTGATCCTTTCGTTAGTCATATGTTCAAACTCACAGCACCGCGGCTGTTCACACTGCAAAAACAATACAGCTGCATCTTAGTCACCTACACTAGCCAAATGCTTTTTAATGGCCAACAGTCATTTCATATTTATTTTATAGTTTGTTTGAGATCTGCTGCTGAGAATGATTCAATTTTAGATTTACATGTTTGTTCGATCACGGCTGCAGAAATGAGGATGAACTCTGCTGCAGACGCACAGGATAATACACCCAATCTTTGTTTTCATCATGAAGAGGAGTGAGTGTGTGTTAAAGTGGGAAACACATTAGTCGAAATCTTACACTTTTCCTTCACCTACTGTTTCTGCTTTTACACACACATATATATAAAAAACATAAATAACTGTAAAGTTAAAAATCAGACAAATGTTAGTTCCTAATACTGTTCTACCTTCATATGTTTACAGAATGAGATTATTCGTCATCTGAACTAAAGACATGTTAAGTGCCAGTATGGATATGGGACTCTACTTCCCGCCTCCTATTTTCCCATTTCTGAAACAGGCGTGAGCATCTACAGTGTTCATACTAAGTGCTATCGTCTACAGGCTGCTGTTTAATAGAAGAATATCAGAAGACTACAAGTAAGCTATTAGGTTAGCGCCGGTTCACATCACTACATCTTAATATACATAAATCTGCATCATCACCGGTGAGAGCCGAGAACACGCAGAAAAACTGACGTTTAAATTGTGATGTTTTTTTGTTCGCCAGATTTCATTATTTCATCACATTTATGGAACATATATGAGCTTTTGAGATCAGTCATGACCTTAATTTCAGACTTTTAAAGACCTTTTATTGAGCAGCAGGAAGTGTGTAAAGCCAGCTCTGATTGTGAAAGCTTTACTGTTAACGGGTTCGATACTTTTGTCAAGCTCGGCTTCATAAATACACTGTTCCCTGCTAAATATTCAGAACTAAAACTTTTTCCCTGCGTGAGTTTTCATGTGGACTACCAAACCACCTCTTTGGGTAAAACTTTTCCCACATACTTTGCAAGTGTATGGCTTCTCACCGGTGTGAATTCTCACGTGCACCAATAAAGTACATTTTTTAGTGAAACTTTTCCCACATGTTTTGCAAGAATACGGCTTCTCTCCTGAGTGGATCCTCATGTGGACCAACAAACTGCCCCTTTGAGTGAACGTTTTCCCGCACGTTGTGCAAAAAAATGGATTTTCACCTGTGTGCACCGCCTTGTGCTTTTTAAGTGCTAATAAGTAACAAAATCTTTCACCACAGGTGTTACAGGTATACGGTTTCTCACCCGAGTGGGTCCTCATGTGAACCAACAGACTACCACCTTGAGTAAAACTTTTCCCACACGTTTCACAAAGATAGGGCTTCTCGCCTGTGTGGATTCTGTGATGTTCGTGTATTTTGTATTTATTCTTAAACAATTTTCCACAAACATTGCATGTTACTGACTTTTTACCTATGTCAGTGTTACACTGACCCTCTGACGTGGGAGAGTCTTCTGCATCGGTACTGTGACTTCTGTTTGCACTATGTGCTGATCCTAAATCTACATAGTTGCTTCCTCCCTGATCTTGACCCTCAGCTATCAGGAAGCTGTGAGAGAGGAGCTGCTCCCTGTCTGGTCCTGGTTCACCGTGGGCTCTTTCCTCATAAGCAGCAGTCACCATAAAGGTATCAATGTCCTCCTTCAGTGCAAGCTGCTGTCCCTCCTGACTGCTGTAGAAATCCTCCTGTTCATGTTTGATCTGGAGAGGCTCTGGTTCCCCGCGGTTCTCCTCATTACAGAGCTGCTGGTTAATGAGAAATTCCTCCTCCTTATAGACATGCTGCTGCTGGAGGCCTAGAACGAAGCCAACATAAAGAAAACTGATGTGATGACAGAAAAACTCCTCTGAGCAATCATTAAAATAAACACACACAATGTTTCCGCTTCTTCTAAAAGTCTGGTCGGATGTGTAAAAAAAAGCTAAAAATCACGTCTGGAAAAAGGTTTATTTGTTTTTTGTGGGGATAAACTGTTTATTTTACAGCATTACCTCAATAATGGATTGGATTTATATAGCGCTTTTCAAGGCACCCAAAGCGCTTTACAATGCCACTATTCATTCACACACTGGTGGAGGCAGCTACAGTTGTAGCCACAGCTGCCCCGGGGCAGACTGACAGGCCATATCGCACCATCGGCCCCTCTGGCCATCACCAGTAGGCAGTAGGGTAAAGTGTCTTGCCCAGGGACACAACGACCAGGACAGCGAGCCCAGGGATCGAACCGGCGACCTTCCGGTTACAGATGCGATTCCCAACCCCCTGAGCCACGGTCGCCCCAATAAACCCACACACAGGGTTAAAAAGGTAGTAAAGAGCTCCATAAAATTACATTTATAATATATTAAAACTCAAAGAAACCTACAGAACCAAACTCACTAATATAACTACATGCCCAGGCACATAAGGAAAAGGCCTTTTATATTCTTATTTCTTGGTGTCAGTGAAAATCCAGGCAGGGCGTTCTGAATCAGCTGAGAAGACAGTTAAAAAAGTTTTTAAAAAATGAAAGTTTGGACGACCTTGTGAGAGTCATCAGCTGTTCTTGTTTTTTTGTTTTGCTTCTGTGTGTTTTTGGCTTTGAAGTAGAGCTTAAATTTAACAACTGACATTAAATATAAAGCGCTTTGAGGCAATTGTTGCTGTGCTTTGGTGCTACATAAATAAAACCAAAGTGAATTGAAGTGCTATTGCAGATCAATATTATATTTCCATCATCTGTTCATGTGTTTTATTTGATCATTTCTCGTTCACTCTGAGAGTTACTGAGAGCACCAGGGGGATAAGTGGATGCTACCGAGAGTAACGTCAGGCTCAAAAAGCAGCACCACTGCTCTCATTCTCTCCTCTCAGTGTGCACACAGACACGCATGGTAGTGGGTAACCATGGTAACCGTTCAGGTTATTATTTCCATGCAAAAGAAAGAACACAAGTACCGCTGTTGTCTAACCGAGTAACTAATATACTGTGCATGTATATAGTGCATATTACTTTACAAAGTCAGTGTGCACTCTGTGACAATAATGTGACTTCAGAAGAAGAAAATAAGCCCTTCATTTGAAAAAATGTGATTGACTCAAAATAAAATACATAAGATGTGTGTGAAACAGAAGAGGAAGTGATGCAGCTGTGAAGACACGTTTCACTGGATGGAAAAGAACCCGGTAATAAAAAGCAACAGATGTGTTGGATGCACATCTGTAGCTGCATGAAATATTGGCCTGTAGTCATCAGCGGACCTGACGACAGTTCAGCTCTTATGGTAGGAAATACTGTCTAAATATTTCCCTTTATGCAATGTTTTTAAATAATTAGCTGACTCAATGAAAAAATAATCTGATGCTAAGTAACCAATCATCACGTTACACTATTTTTACAACCTGGGGCCCGTTCTTCGTACCTCGCTAAGTAAGTTAGCTGGATTTGATTGTTTA